TTGCGATGGCGCTTAGCTCCTCCCTTTCCGAGTCCTTTTCCTCCTTTACCACGTCCAGACATGATTGATGCTTCGACTTTGCGAATTGACAATCTGAAAACACTACGTCTTATATATATGTTCCTGAGGTCACCCTACTACAACCCACTATGCTCGAAAAAATTTTGCGCGCAAGCTCCGCCTACAATTACTGCAACACAACAATTTATTAAATGCGCTAATCTTAGTGTTATCCAATAATGACATTTGTTTGCGGTTGTTCGGTTTTTATCAGGTGGATCCCTGTGACTAGATCTATCAAGTGAAACCAATCGGGATCTTCAAAACACAGAGAATTGATTCAATGATGAGTTGGAAAAGTGGACATTTAGCCTTGTTTTTTCCAAGTTTTTTGGATAAAATGCTCGCAAAAAGGATCATGAATCCAAAATTCTTATGTACCAATCGCGAAAAAAATCTTCAAAATCTACATCCGTTAACCTTTTCATAAATTTTTAACTTATTTGAAGATATCTCACATGGATAGTCACATCATCTCGTTTCACTCAAACATCATCTGGAAGCCAGAAGCAAACAAGGTGTATTTCATGAGAGCTCTTCCCTGAACTACAGCCATGATGAAAATAAGAAGAGTATCATATCTGAAATATTCTTAGCCAAATGCGGGAAAGAGTTCAGTTGTGAAAAATATGGATTGAGAGACTAACTGTTTTCCCAATGGCTAACAACATTGAGTATCCAAACTAATCGAAAAATGAAAAATAGCTTGGAATGACTATTTTTGATATCCTTAGTTATCGATAACAATACAGTGCATCTAGCTAATAGAGCATCCTCAGGGTGTTTCGACCCTGCTGCACCGTTCAATGTAAGAGAAAACTATATAACTAAGATAATTGATGTCCATAACAATGGGAGGCGGAGCCTGCGCGCTGTTAATATATAACAAAAATTTTCCAATTGGTCAATACCACTTGATTCGTCAGTGAAAGCCTAAGGATGCCACCAAAACCATCTGCCAAGGGAGCTAAGAAAGCCGCCAAGACCCAGAAAGTCGCCCGTACCGGAGACAAGAAGAAGAGAAAGTCCCGAAAGGAGTCTTACGCTGTCTATGTCTACCGTGTCTTGAAGCAAGTCCACCCCGACACCGGAATTTCTTCAAAGGCCATGAGCATCATGAACTCTTTCGTTAATGATGTCTTTGAGCGTATTGCTAACGAGGCTTCTCGTTTGGCTCACTACAACAAGAGATCCACCATCTCTTCCCGTG